TATATATATATATTCTTCTGAGATGCATTTGTGCGTGTCATGAGACGTGCCATCAGTGAGCAGGAGGAGGGAAACCCCATTGACCGAAGGAGAGAGCACTGCAGTACTTAGACAAAACCCTGAATTAAGGCGCTTTCTGTCAGTTTCCACACCTGTAGCACAACAGTATCCAGATATACTAACACACCGTGTTGCAGCGCAATAATTTCATGACTGGATCAGATTACTGTGCATGAAAAGAAGGAAAAGGCTACAGAAAATAATCATGTGCAGTGTAAAGAGAGCATCAAAAGTGCTCAGTTTTGGTGTAACATTAAAATGATTGTGCTTTGTTAAGCATCAGCTTATTCAGTAGAATATTAAAGCACAGAAATAGTGATCATTTGTGCTTAATAGAGGTGCATTTATGTAGTTCTCTTAAGCATCTCTGAGGACATCTAATAGAGTCATAAGAAAATAAAAAAAAACATTAAGGATGGATTAGAAAATGCATCTCAGTGATCCTGATCATCTTACCACTCCTGCTGTGGCTCGTCGATCACCAGGAGAATCTTGAACTTCTTAGGTGTCGTGACTTGGGTCTGCTCCACGAGCCCCGCTGAGGCGGCTGTCTGCTTAACCACATTAGTGATGGAGCTGAAGAAGCCCGACCCGCTGGACTGTGAGGGCTGAGGTTTTCTATCAGGAGCAGGGGAGGCGGCCGGCGGCACGGGCCCAGCTGTGGGGGACTTGGCCGGGGTGGAGGAAGCAGGGGGTGGAGGAGCCTGAGCCTGAGCCTGAGCCGGAGCATCGGGCCTCTGGAGGTCAGTCATGTAGCCGTTGGGCAGGTTGGAGATGAAGGTGCTGTCCGAGAGACGCCGGCGCAGGTAATTCATGGCTGCAGAGGGGATCCGTGGAGCTCTGGGAGTGCAGGGGATGGGCACAAATAAAGAAAACGATTCTGCGGAGGGACTTCTGGGTCTGAGTGTGGGGCTGGTGAAGGCAGATGGGGGTGGGTGGGGGTCTCCGTGTAAACTCCTACCGTATGTACTCCCTCCCAGCTTCACAGAGCATCCTCAGAGCGCTCCCTCATTCAGTGACGCTCAACCAATCCCCTTCTTCCTCCAGCACGGCGCATGATGCTCTGCCTCGCCTCTCCATCCTCCTCTCCTCCCTCTCCTAGTGGCATGCCTGACTTCCCTCCCCCTCCCCCATTTTCTGCTGCCTCCGAGGCATCATCCCTTTTTTTTTTGAACTACAGCATGAAAAATAGAGGGGTTTCCAGTGGAAGTGCAAGAGGGGATCTGAGTACTACATCACAAATTCAACACGCCTTTTGCACTCCTGTTCAGCAGGACTCACGGGCTCCGGTCGGCTCTTCTGCCTGTAAAACAGAAAGCAGCAAATCTAAAATGGCTGTTTGGACTGGTGGGCAGTGTTGAACGGGAGAAAACGTCAGCAGCAGTCCCCTGAGAGCCAAATGCATGCAGTAAACACTCTCAGTCGACCATTTTATCTTCACATATCTGCACTTCCAACTGAGATTTTAGTTTTGCAATGAAATAATCAGAATACTGAAGAACATGCAAGAAGAGTGCACGGGTAATGACCTCCAACACTAAGATGGGTTTTCTAAAAAAGGGTTGGACAACAGATCGATGAGTCAATAACTTGTGGTTTTTCAGAGGTCACCGTCTTTACAGGCAACAGACGGCAGAGGTTAATTCTGACAGGCATAAACGTCAGCAGCTTTTCTGAAAAATAATGCAGGAATTCATCATTTCTGAGCTGCTTTCATTCTGAGATCAACAAATAAAACCACAACAGTTTTTTTGTTTGTTTTTTAATTTTATTGTGGTTTTGAAATCAGAAGGTTAAACATTAAGGAGTTAATTTGAGAACCCTTTACAATGCGTTTAGTTTAATTTTACAATATGAAGCTACCTGTACAAAAGTACTTAAACTGACAAAAAATATGACAAATATAGTGCATTGTTATAGTGGAAATTTCAAATAAACTATAAGTGTTTTTTAGGGATAGATATTAGGGTATCTGTCAGCTTTTTTGTGCTTTTTAACTATTAATCAGATGTGGTTTTGGACATTTCCAATATTTTTTGTATTTATGAACACATCTCATTCCTTTGAGACTGATGGGTGTTAAAATATTAACCATTTATGAGGCACAGTAAAGTCAGCTGTACATATATTAGAGTGAACGTTCAGCTATCTATCCAGAATAACTAGACATGTGCATAATTTTCATTTTAAATATTTTGCAATGTAACAATAATACAATAATAACTTGTAAAAAGTGTGTTTTTGTGTAGAAATCTTTGTGCTCTGGAGACACCAGCTGGTGTTTCTGTGTAGTGCACAATAAAGTCAACTTTACTGTGTTGGGGCTCTACAACCTTCTCTTTTTTAAGAAAGGTTTACAGGACAAAACAAATATGAGCCCACAGATATTCAATTGTTCCCATATAAACGATCCACCGTGTGACTGACACACAGCAGCTGTGATGCAGCAGGTAAGGGTCTGTGGCTTTTACAATCAGAGGCTGCCCAGTCTCAAATACAATTTGTCAGAGCTTGTTGTAATCAAAAATTATGCAAATCTTCTAATGTTATACAGTTATTACTAAATAGAAATAAAAATGATTAATCTAATAAAAAATGTTAGGAATTATGAGTGTTTTACACATTTGAACAAAGGAAAGGCCAGCCTGTTATTGTTTACTCTGCCTTAATGACATAACAACAACACTCTGAACTACATGCGAGTCCTTTATTTGTAATATAATTGGTAGCTCTAAAATTTTCCTAGGTGAGAATGGTTGTCTGTGTGCCTGTGATAGATTTACAACCTGTCCAGGGTGTCGTCTGTCCCTCACACAGTGACTGCTGGACATCCAGGTCCCTGCAACAAGGAAAGGAGAAGCAGGTAAAGAAATGTGTGGATGGACGGACGGATGCATGTGTGTGTGTGTGTGTGTGTGTGTGTGTGTGTGTGTGTGTGTGTGTGTG